TAATTTTACCCAGCTTTCGGAGTCAATGTTGAGCTCTGGGCCAAGATCGACGGACTTCCTGTTATCATTGTCATTGCTAGCAAGCCCATGGTCCGCATCAGCATGCTGAGTGAGTCTGTTGGGAAGCTCATCAATTGTCTCCTGTTCAATGGCATCCTCATCGGCAGCGAACGCGGCAGGGATCGTTCTAGCCAATTCTAACAGGAACCTCAATTGAACTTGTGTGATTCGCAAGTTGAGCTCGGTCATATGGCCGTCAATTTCAAGGTCAGGTCTCTTGACTCCCTGCAAATGCTCCGCATACGTGATCGCAAAGCCAAGATCAACTTGATCAATAAGCTCCAACTCCTCGGACCGATCCTCCCCGTAGTGAAAGTCGGAGGTCAACCTGATATTCCTTATACCAGCCGAAATCTTCATACCGATGGGCGAATACGCGGAGTCATCGAGTGGAACGAACTTGTTCTGGGCGTAGATCTCTCCGAGATACGCGGTAACGACGTCTCGGTGTGATACGCCCGACTCCATAACGCGGGGGAAGACGATTATCGGCGTCTTAACCGTAATATTGAAATGTATCTTGTTGGCATTTTGCTGAATCTGAGACGCTTGGTTCGCAGCAGCCTGGCGAGCAGCGTTGAAAATTGCCTGCATCTTTCCGAACTTGACGAGGAAGTTGAGAATCTTGCGGAATGGCTCAGAAATGAAGTTGACCTTCACTGATCCAGCTTGGAGGCCAAAGGAGGAGTCGTAGCCTGGGTATGTTTCCTTATTATTCGGGTCAAAAGTCTCATAGCTGAAATCAGCCAAATCTTGACCTTGGATAGAAACCAATTCACGCATCTCGAGCGGCGCGCCCTGGTCGATGTCGTCTAATAGCGACAGGTTGCCGAGTTTACCACCGATTCGCATTGTCTGACCCATCAGGAACAATCCCAAGTCGCCAGCCATGAGACTTAGCGTTGCAAGCCTAATCCCGTCATTATTGAGGACCAGCGACACCTTCTTGAGGCTGATTTGAATCCTGATTTTCTCCGGTTCTGCTGGGTTTTGGGGCGTGGCGACAACTTCATCCTCTTCCGATTCATCTTCAGACTCGATGGTTTTCTGATTCGGATTATTCCCGTCGGGGTTCGTGAAGGTTATGAGAATAAAGTCCAGCAGTGTCAGAAGTGTTCTCCTCGTGACAATCAAGTTGATCGTCGATATCGCAATGTCAAGGTTCGTCTCAATCCCCGAATATTTGGTCATAAACTCGGGCGACTCCCTCCTGATCCTGGCATATTTGACCTGGACGAGGGCCTTCTCTTTATCGCCTCCCTCTGCGCCATCCCCTGATGATACTAGGCGCTTGAACTCAGGCAGAGGATCCTTTTCTACATGATCATCCAGCGAGAGAGATTGGAGGGCAACTTCCGCCGTTATATCAAACGGTCTGACTGTTACATCGACACTGAAGTGCTCTGCGACAAGCTCGACGAGTAATTGGTCGGGCTTCTTGCCATTAGGGTCACTTCGATATAGAGAACCCTGGAGTCGGCCAATGCTGAACGATAACTCAAAAGTCCGCTGTGCGAGCTTGAGGTCCTCATCAGTTTGTCCGATGGAAGCGTCTTGGAACACAGCATCTTCGTCCTCATCAAGATCAGATTCCTCAATGACAACGGCCTGCTGAGCCGCAAATGGGAAGGAGGTTGACTGTCGGTGAGATTTTCGGCGCTGGGATAATGAACTTTGTGCACGTGGACGCTTGACATCCTTCGTAACCGCTGAGCTGCGAGCAGGTTCTATTGCCTTATCTAGCACTTCTTGCTCATCTTCAAACTTGGGAATAGCCACGTTGACAAGTCGCATGAAGCTCTTCCACTTGGCATCAGATGCCGAAGCATGAAGTACTGGTAAGTGCCCAGAAATTCGTATTTTCGGGATGTTTGGCGTCTTTGGTACAATTGATAATTGCAGCGTGAATTCGACGTTGATGCGGTCAACAACGTGGAACGCCTTATCCCCAGTGTCCCTTAGGCGCGCCTTGGTCTCTTCCACAGACGGGCCAATGAGAACCTGAGTTGCTTCAAGCTTCAGCTGGAATTTATCGTACATCAGGCCTTCCAAGCGCTTCAGATCATCCTCGGTATATGTCTGGTTGTGCTTGGACTGTATGTCTCGCATTGTCTCTTTATCAACCAGATCGCTGTTGACGCTGATGTGACCAGCATCGACAATTAAGCACGTAGTCCTTTCGGCCTCAATATTTTCAGGAATGATGATTAAAGGTGCTTGCAAGTCTAGCTTGGCATTTATCGTCTTGTGCTCCTCGAGAGCAAATTCCAAGCCGGCTCGTGTTTGCTGTCTAATGCTTTCTACTGTAGCACCTGCTGTATCCATAAGAGCGTATATGGAATCCATGTGCCTCTCCGGAGGCTTGAAGAATTTGACGATCTCCACGATAAAATTAGGATTATAAATGATCTCCATAGACTTCAATTTTGCCGTAACTGCTAAATCGGCACTTTCGTCTAGAGGGTGTTGTTCGAATTGGAACTGGAAGAACGGCTCCACGGAGGACTCGGGTTCAAACTTGGTTAAACTGGTGTCGTCGCCGGTTGATGGCGAATCCTTCACTCTTATAATTTGTGGATAGAAGCTGTTCGCAGTGGTTCCGTCGTTGAGACGAAGGCCTCCCAGGCTTACGTCGGCGAGGAAGGAATCCGGCCGTTGTAAGATTTTGGCACTGAAAGAATCAAAGAACAGACTGAGAACCTCCACCGCTGTATTGTGGGAGTCCCGTTTTAATGTAAAACTACCCAACTTAAGGTCGGCTTCGATTTGGAGCTTAACGGTCTCTCGAGGCAGATCAACGCTTGCCGCGATTGCATTTTTCTCGTCCCAATCGATAGCCTTGTACAGTTCCTCACGTTGCTCTTCCGTCATCGTGGTCGTCTCATCCTCTTCGGTCTCTTCAGGCTTCGAGCCCCAGGCCCATGCCACCCATCCTTGGGGCTTTGGAGGTGCGGCTTTCTTGACACCGATGTTTTCCTTCTTCAGTTGATTTCTAGCGAGTGACCTCCAGAATCTCAGGTCTTCGTACGAGAGCTTCCACTCAAGATTGTTGAGGTCCTCGGTTTCATCAGGGGTCATTGCTTGGTCTCCTCTCTTTTTCTTAAATAACTCGATGTAACGGATTCTATCATCTCTTCGCTCGCGGAAGTAATCCCACGACCAGCGACGGTTTCTCTCATGGATTTTGCTCAGCACTGCATCTGCAGCAAATCGCAACCACGCACGAGGGTCTTCTTTGGGAGTGACTCCTTTGGGCTGCAGTTTCTTGTATTCCTGGTGTCGCAGGAAATAATGGAATAAATCAACCATCATGAGGGCATCTCTGTACTGGTCATCGTCCAAAACCAGTCCAATTTCGTCGAAAAGCAGGCCTGCTTTAATCTTTGGCCTGGTGATCTCGCCAGAGGTATCCATCTCGATCTTTGCGCGGCCACTAACAGGTTTCAATATGAACTGATGCTCGGTGTCGTCGCTCTGCTCGCCCTTGACGATCAATTTTGAGAATTGCTCCATCATCTCCTCGTGGGACAAAACTTCGGCATCTTGAGGCACCTGTGCTTCTCGTCCGGTGCCCATAAGCTTTGTATCTGTATTGAAGTATACAGCAAGTGCCTCCAGGGTAGCGAGTTTATGCGCAACACCAACTGAGTTTTGTATGTATGTCGGGTTCCATTCTCCGTCGGTGCTTACAGCGCTGAATCCCTCAAGCGTAACACCGAGCGCAAATGGATGGCCGGGAGCGGATATCGAATCTTCATATCGGACGTGTATGTTCTTCACGGTGATTTGGAGGTTGTTCACGATAGCCGAAACCAAGCTCTCCGTGAAGCTCTGGCTCTTCTTCTGCTCCTCCTGGCTGAGGCCTTCGTCATTCCTCTCTTTAAGGATGTCTGCGCTGTCGAGTTTTTCTATTTTCACAGCTTGGCGCCTTCGCTCTTCCTCCTCCTCGTCGTATTCCGCGTCCTCCTTCGGTGCTGCCAGCAGGTATACATCTTCAATAAACACCTTGACGGGCTGACCGCGCAGGTTCGACCATGGTATCGTTAATGTCAAAGCTCCAAGATGTCCCTCGACCACATTTATCGGCAATTTCAGCTGGTCCAGAGCTTCTCGCCTGAGCTCCAAGTTTTGAAGCTTGACATCTCCCGACCAGATCCCGACTTTCAGTTGTCCTGGGTCAAAGTTCCGAATGTACATGCCCAGGAACCGATTGAGGAGACCGGCCACCAAGCCTTCCAACATCCTGTATTATTGGTGCCGTAACCCGGGCAGGGGCAATCGTTGGGTTGTTCTTTAGGGTCGCAGCTGATGTTCGTCCAGGGTTCTCGGGAACAACAGTCGCGCGCGTAGGGCGGCGTCTTCGTGAAGGAATATGGGCTTCAATTGCCTCTCTTTTGTTGATTCACCCTCGAGGGCTTTGTGGGACGATTCAGTTCATGGGGTGCTAAGCTGTTGGGAGTATCGCGACCCCTCCTTTGGAGCTAAACTCGGGACGACTATCTTGAGGCGCTTTCACGAGCAATAGGAACCGCTAACAAGCAAGAAAAGTACACAGTGATCTCCGCAACAAAGTCTAGAGTTTATTCGTTGGTTTTGAAGAGATCAAAGTCGCGTTGGTACAATAAATTCGTGATCATGAGCGACGTAGGTAATTGTTGGCTTGCGTGGATGGAGACTCGACGTTGTTGGCAGTGCCAAGGTACTCTCTGTGGTCTCCGTCCCGTAAGTTACGGAGGTGGGATTCTCATGTGGCTGTGGCTGTTGCTCCTTCCTGCCCCAGGCACTCACTCATAAGCCTTTTAGTTGTGGTCCCTGAAATTCGCTTCTATCCTGTTTGGCTGGTATCAATCAAAATCTATGACGTAGACACTGGAAGCTTGGGCCAACACCATAATGTCGTAGGGAACGATGAGAACATCATTACATTTCCCATCCATCCTCTATCCGCAAAATATATAGCTTAGTCTTTTACAAAGTAACATCTCAGAGCTTTGTTATATATATAATTTAAAATCTCCCCAGGATAACAATCCGCTTTGAGTGTGTACAGTTTGAAGCTTGTACACTTTTTCTACAATACTCTCGATAACGTAGGAAAACAGTGGGCGGGGTACGATAAGAGCATCATCGCAAGCTTCCGCCCGTCAATATGATCCGCACCACAACAACAACAGCAGCTCGGCCATTTTCTCGGGGACTCGCAAATGTAATTTCTGCGAGAGCTGGCTATGGCCCAGCTATACGCAAAGTCAGTGTCATATCACAATTCCACTCTTTGGCCGCGAAAAGGCCACAGGTCGCCGTACCGCAATTCCGGCCAGTCCTTATACCCCAGTTGCGATATGCAACGAAGACGGGAGTTCCAAAACATGATAAAATCGATGCGGCAGCCGAGAGAAAATTGGGGGCAAAGAAGCTTGAAAGTTATCCAGAGGCTGTAACGACCGATTCAAGCGTCCGCCAGGTCTTTGAATCCAGCGAAGCCCCGATTGAAGAAGAGGACCATGAAGTGCTCAGGGGGGTTAAACAAGATCTCGTAAGTTTCAACCTTTTATCTTCGGCTGGCTTGATTGATTGCGGAACGGAAACCCCTGCTTTGAATATTATCTAACTTTCATAGAATACGATCAAGGACTCCTTCGCTCTCCGTGAGGTGCCTCGAGAATCGTACTATTTAGGGGCTGCTGGAACACTTCCTTATATGGCTACTTCTCTGGCTACATTATATCTGAGCTATGGCATCAACCATGTGCCGACAGGGTCGAGCTTGTTTTTCCCGCTGGAAACGGCCCAATACTACTTATCGGTTTTGGAACCAATCCAGATAGGCTATGGTGCTGTGGTAAGTATTATAAAGAAGATGTCTGTAATTTAAGTTGCATCCCATCTAATACTACCCAGATCCTCTCCTTCCTCGGTGCAATCCACTGGGGCCTCGAGTACGCCCAGTACGGTGGACACCAACCAGGCTACCGCCGCTTCGCCATCGGTTGCGCCATGCCCGCCATAGCCTGGCCAACTATGCTGATGCCACTCGAGCCAGCTTTAATAACTCAGTTCATCGCCTTCACCGGGCTCTACTTCGTCGATTCCCAGCAAGGAGTCCGCGGTTTCGCTCCGTCATGGTACCCCACGTACCGTTTCGTGCTGACATTCATTGTTGGTATCAGCATCGTTGCCAGCTTGATTGGGCGCGGGCAGGTGCAGTTTGTGGGATCGGGAAAGCCGACTCGTGCTGAGAAGTTGAGAGAATTGAGTGAGATGCAGCCAGAGGCGAGGAGGCAAGAGGAGGAGGTTAAGAGTCAGAGGAAGGCTGCTGAGGCTGCTGAGGCTGCAGAGGAAGAGAAGAAAAATGAGAACAAAACCGAAGATAAGGGCGACCAGGGTGAGAAGTAAAATAAGGAGAAGAAGTAAAATAATGGTAAGTTGCTAAAAACCCGGTAGTTCTCGTAACGGGACGATGGTGGCTTTTGGCTATTTGTCTTGAACTGTACATCATTGTAACAGTTCTGTTATTAAGCAATCTCTATTGTTCGGTAGTCATGTCAGCTATGTTATTCACTTTAGTTGAATCTGTAACTATTTATCTAAGTATGCTTAAAACAATTGTGGGTTATAATGTTGCGGAAGCAAACGTTAGCGAATCACTGGCGTTCGTGCTTTGCACCTGCTTGTCGAAGCCCCACGCAACAGCATACACCTGCAGCCCTGTGGAGTCGAGCGGTTGTCGTGAGATTCGATCGGATTATTAATAGTGAACTTTGATACAAAAAGGCCGGAGTCGAGCGGTTATCGTAAAAGTCAGTCGGATTATTAATCGTGAGCTCTGATACAAAAAGGTCACTGACTACTCCTGTGAATGAATGAATGAATGCTGAGAACAATAACAGCAAGCCTCGTACCAACAGTTTCATTCCCGCGGCCCATTTATCCCCACTTGATCTCGTGACAGCATCATACAAACACCATGTCCTTTGACGAAGTCTTAGAAAAGGCCGCTCAAGATGGCACCATTCCTGGAGCCGTGGTGCTCGCCACAAATACCTCCGGTAAGACCTGACAACCCTTACACGGTGCAAGGGCAAAAAATAACACTTGACAGGCGATTTCAACTTCCAAAAAGTCATTGGCAAAAGATCACTCCAAGCTGGCAGCGACGACCCGCTGCGGCTAGACTCAGTCTTTACTATTGCTTCCATGACGAAGCTCTTGACATCAATAGCTCTCTTACAGCTGCACGAGCGTGGAACCGTCGGTCTCGACCAAGACGTCTCTGAACTTGTGCCCATCCTCGCCAACCAGTCCATTCTCACCGGGTTCACCAAGGACGGGACGCCGATCCTCGTCAAGCGCGAGAAAGCCATCACACTACGCCTTCTCCTCACACACAGCTCCGGCGCCGGCTACAGCTTTATGGACCCCAAGCTGCAGCAATACGCCAAATACACAGGCAAGACATTCTCCGAAAGCAGCACCATTGACGACATCTTTGACTGGCCTCTGCTCTACCAGCCAGGCGAGGGCTGGGCGTACGGCGCCGGAGTTACCTGGGCTGGGAAGGTGCTTGAGAAATTGACGGGCAAGTCTCTTGAGGATTACATGCAGGAGAATATGTTCCAGCCGCTGGGCATTTCTCGTATCACCTTTTTCCCCAGGGCCAACCCGGCGCTAGAGGGCCAGATGTGCGACATGAGCGTTCGAGACGACGCGACAGGGACACTTAGTGCTGCGCCCCCTGGGCTTCCCTTCTTTGGGGATCTGAAGGACTGTCTCGGCGGAGAGGGAGCGTACGCGGATCTGTCGGATTATGCTAAAGTCCTGCGATCGATCCTGCTCGATGACGGGACATTGCTCAGGAGCGAGACAGCTGCCTTGATATTCCAGCCACAGCTGCCTACGGATGCAGCGAGGGCGGGGCTCAGGAAGGCCATGGAAGACCCGAGCTGGGCCGTTGGCGACTTTTCTGGGCCTAATGAGTATGACTGGGGATTTGGTGGCATTCTTATCGCGGGAGATAATCATCCTGTGCGTAGCCGGGGATGCTTGATCTGGTCCGGCGCGGCTAATCTATTCTGGGTATGTTTACTTCTCCCCAAGAGAGACCAGGTCAATCAGCTAATCAAGGCAGTTTATTGATCGGACAGCTCGATTGTGTGGTCTTTGGGGGACGCAGGTTATGCCTCCTGCCGACCAGAAGGTGGAACCGCTTATCAGTTTATTTGAGAGACACATGTACGCTCTTGGAGGCAAATAAAGGCAAAGTAATAAGCTTCTGCTATGCTAAGGAAACTGACAGGGTCCCATACATGCGTTGCCTAGGATCCGTTGTCTCGTCCTTCGGGAAGTGTTGCAGCTATTCTAGGCCGAACGGCAACTTTCTGTGGGAATCCTACCACGGCTGCCAAGTACGAATCGTTGCACATTAATCAATGCGAAAAAGGCGACAAATTTACCTGGATCTAGAAACATGGGCTGAAATTCTGGGTTTAATTGTATTGATGTATTTCTGAAGTTTGCTTTGGGCAGAGATTATCACATTTAGCAATGCCAAATAGCGTTCGCCGAGCCAACGGTGTCCATAAGCCGTTAGCGTCAATATCCCGCCAAGGCGGCCGTCCGCCTTTGGTTATGTTCTTTGAGATCCCAACAACACGAAACTAATTCGATCTTCAAGTTACCAGAAACTCCTGGATTAGGTGGTTACAGTGAGTCATATAGCAAAGACCGTGTCTTGCATGTTCAGTTATAAATACAAGCGTAAGTTCCTATTTCGCTCCTCTCTTTCTTATTCCGTACACTCAGCAACCACTTCTCAAATCAATTCTTTCCGCTGCAGCCATGGCATCCACAGACGTCATATCTCAGGTGCTTGACTCTATTACTTCTACAAAGTTGGAAGAGCTGTCAAAGTTGCGGGCCAACTTTGAACTTGGCAAATCCGAGCTTCTGAAGTTGGTGGATGCTGAGGAGCGACAATCTAAGAGAGTACTATTACTCCTTGAGGGAGGGAGGAAGCTGTGCACTCTAGAAGATCTGGGGGGGGATGCAGCCTTTTCTGCCGAGAATATTCGATGCTTCATCAAGCAAGCCTAACATGATCCGTCAGTCTCCGTAGGACTGCAAAAGGAATGGGAGGTGGATATCCGGAGGCGCCTTGATGTCAACTCTCTTCGTTTTGAGTACGCCGCAATGTATGGGAATCTCGTCACAGAATGGCTTGAGAACCCTCTAATCAACAAGAACGACGCGGAAGGTGCTTCATACCAAGCAGTGGGCCGCGCCGAGATGCACGAGCAACGTTCTACATGGGAATCCTACGTCTTCAAGCCACTCAAAACTGATACTGTCGCAATAAATTCTTACCTGAACCAGCTCTTCACGTCATCGAAGTATATGGAAGAGCGTCTCGAGGTCCTGCGGAAAACGACTCAGCATTTTGAGGAAACTCTGTTGTCAGAATCACAATTTGACGAGGACTCTTTGAAGTGGATCATCGCCGGCATCTTAGGCAGCGACGGTATCACCGACGCCAAACGCACCGCGCTCACGGATTTCGCCAGCAACAAAACTGTTCTCAAAGAGCTGGCCGATGTGTTGAATATGAGGATGCGCAACTTGGACACATGGAGTTGGGGTGTGGAAGGTACTCCCGTCGAGCAACGACGACAACTCAATGGACGATACCGGTTTTATCACGACGAGGATCTTTTGCAAACCATATTCCTGAGATACATCGGTTGTGAATGGTCAGCTCAGTTTAAGGCGTCATTGAAAAAGTTTGCCGAATCCCCAAAAACATGGATACATCCAAAGCCCGCCATGACCAAGGACGAGGTAGCCCAGTGGAGTGGTTGCGATCATGCGCTACGCACAGCTGGCACCGATCAATGCGTTCAACATAAACACGCAAGGATCTGGATGAACGACGTCTTTCTTGAGCAACTTCAGACAAGTGCTGACGAAACTCCTCGCGCTTATGACGATGATGGCTGCGACGATGACAGCGACGATGGCTCAGATGTTAAAACAAAAAGCCCTCAGAGAATTATCCAAAAGGTATTGAGGCTGCTTGAAACGGATATTATCATGAAAACTCGGCTCAGCGAAGATGTTACTGTTGTCCGCTCGGATTTTAAGTGGTTTGGGCCATCTCTTCCACACTCGACCATGTTCACTGTACTTAAGTATTATGGCGTTAGTGATCGATGGATTGGATTCTTCAAAAAGGCCCTGGAGGCCCCAATGCAGTTTGTCAATGACGGGCCTGATGCTCCAGTTCAGGTTCGTAAGAGAGGGACACCAATATCCGGCCCCTTGAGTGATATGCTTGCCGAGAGCGTTCTATTCTGCTTGGATTTCGCTTTTAATCAGCGCACAAATGGCGCTTTTCTCTGGCGCTTACATGACGATATCTGGTTCTGGGGTGATAAGAGCACTTGCGAGACGGGTTGGAATGTTATGACTGAGTTCGCAGAGCTCATGGGTCTGGATTTCGCTGAAGATAAGACTGGCAGTGTTCAAATCGCTGCCGATGGTAGCCAGTCGACATCAACGAGCTCCGTGCTCCCTGCTGGAGATGTTGTGTGGGGATTCCTCAAACTTGACGCCAAATCCGGGCGATTTGTTATCAACCAAAACCAGGTTGATAAACATATCAAGGAACTCAGACTTCAGCTGAGTTCCTGCAAGTGTGTCTTCGACTGGATTCAGGCTTGGAATATCTACGCAACTCGATTCTTCACTACCAACTTTGGGCGCCCTGCAAATTGCTTTGGCCGCGCACATGTCGATGAGATATTGGAAACCTTCGAGAAGATCCAGAAACAGCTCTTCACCAACGAAGGTGACAGTGTTACCTCTGTCATCAAGAAGATGCTTTCTGATCGCTTCGGTATTCAGGATATTCCTGAAGGCTATATTTACTTTCCAAGTGCTATTGGTGGCTTGGAAGTGCAAAATCCTTTCATTGGGCCAAATCTGGTTCGCGAATCCCTACCAGCTTCGCCACAGGTCTATATGGATCGGTTCTTCCGAAACGAGGCAGAGGCTTACCAGAAAGCAAAAGAAACTTTCGAATCTCAGGCATTGAAGTCTGGTCACAAAGTGAAAGACCCTGTTGATTTCCTCACCTTTGAAGAATACACTCGTTACCGCGAGTTTAAATCTGCAGAGCTTGGCGAGGCTTTTGACTTGTTAATGGGGGAGCCAGTGCCAGAGTATCTTAATCTCCCGGTCTTTAAAGCACGCCGGCTTCGCCACGATCTTTCAGGCCCTTATTATCGATGGATCCTGCAGCTTTATGCTACGGAAATGGTTCGAAGGTTTGGCGGCCTAGATATTGTTCAGCCTGGTTTGTTGCCTATGGGGATGGTTACTATGTTCAAGAAGAGCCGGTTCCAATGGAGGGATTAAAACGACTTTCGGGTTTGACTGTGCGGTTATGTCGAATTTGAAGTAGAGGATCTAGATGAACCTACTACTCGGGCGGGTCGAGATCAGCTGCGGCAAAGCCTTAATATTCAATATCTAATTCAAAAAAATTAATATAAATTATAAACTAAAAATTATCTGACTATTGCATTGAAATAACTACTTTTAAACTAGGGAACGGCGAATTAGCTGCAGATTTGGGCAGCTTTTGACGATGGTTTACGTGACTGATTTACCGGAAGTCCCTCATTGCCCGCACCCCAGCCCAGACCCGGAGAGCTGCTCCAGAGTCTATCCGTCCTTCAAGAATTCGAATCGCTTCTCTCACTCTCTTCTCCAGACCAGTAGTGCCGGATCAAATTGCATTCCACTACATACACGACAGGTTGCAAGAAATGACACTGGTTATAACATATCCTAGGTGGGTCATGGTTTGTTGTTGTTGGTTGCTGCACTCTCAGCCTTAATATTGACGGCTTGGTATTAAATAAGGAATATGATAGCGCGTGGGAGAGGGCTAGATTGACTAAGATGGGGCTTGCAGAGGCAGCACCTATTGCCCAAAGGCGCTCTATGCATTGCTATATACCATCATCATACTCTCAGTCCTTAGCTGGCCTATTAGTGTTGATATCCTTTAATATCGCCCCAGCGCCTGCTTTTACTAGCCGCGCAGCTAATTCCTGTCCGAGCGCTGTCGCCTCATCGTCAGTCTGTACTCTCGCATCAATAGTATCTTGGACGCTTTGAGAACTATCAATGCTAACAACTATTGCCCTCATCCTCAGCAGAAACTCCGCTCCACCGAGCCACTCCGTCTCAACGCCAATCGGAACGCTGCACCCGCCTTCAAGCTTCCGCATAAGCGCCCGCTCCGCTCGGCACGCGAGGCCCGACTTTTCATCACCGAGTCGGCCTAAAAATTCCCTAGTTTCCTCATCCCCCTTCCGGATCTCCAGCCCCAGTGCCCCCTGGCCGACGGCATAGAAAATCCCGCCGTCCTTAGAACCTAGGTACTGGGTGATGCGATGTGCAAGCCCGACGCGCTCGAGGCCGCACGCGGACATTATCATACAGTCATACTCGCCCTTCGGATCATCGACCTTAGCCAGGCGCGTTTCTACGTTCCCACGTAGGTTGGCGAAGCGCAGGTGCGGGTGCAGGCGGCGGAGCTGAGCGGAGCGGCGCACAGACGAGGTGCCGACGATGGCGCCGCTGGGGAGCGTCGCGAGGGTGGTGTATGGGAGGCCGGCTTTCACTATCAGCGCGTCGCGGGGATCGTCGCGGAGGGGAATGGCGGCTATATCGCAGGAGGAGGGAAGCTCGGTGGGCATATCTAGTTAGTAGTTAGATGGTTATGTGTATTGTTTGCTAGGGAATGAAAAGGGGAGGGAGGGAGTCTGCCTTTGAGACAATGCACGACGATATCTAGCTTGCCCGAAACTAGCAATTCTTCCAACTCGCTGGTCCACAGGCTCTTGGCGCCAAAGTTGTAAAGTGCCGTATTCTGGTCTTTGTCGCCGATGGTGCGGAGGGCTGTAATTTCGAAGGTACGGCCCGGCGCGAGCTTCTGGAGACGATCCCGGATGCCCTCGGCCTGGACAACAGCGAGATTTGATTTCCGGGTGCCAATTCGCAGCGGCGGCATAGAGGAAGAGGTTTCCGCCATGGTAGTGGTTAGGGTCGAGAATAAAAGATTATAGAGAGTTTAAATTGGAAATTCAAAACCACCTACTAAACCATAGCGCTCCTCCGTGGAGACAGAGGGGCATTTAAGCACCGAATGCCCGTGTGTGGCCGAAATCCTATAATTAGCAACACTAGGTATATGGTTATTTATATCGGAGCTACCAAATTAGCATTATTATTGTTGTTGTTAATTTTACTGTTATGGAAGCAATAGTACTGGTAGTAGTAGTATAGAAATTATTATAATGGTAGAAAATGGGTTAATAGTAGGTATATGGAAATTTATAGGGGCGATCTATGATTTTTATTTGCATGATATATTTACATACATAGTAGCTGATATTTTTTTTTAAAAATATATATATATATACATATTCTCATGTAGCCCCAAGTGATCAATGAGATTTTATTTTATTTATAGTAACCATAGACAGTGATAGTATGTATTGTAGCTCTGCAGACTCTTAAGTAGGACTAATAAGTCACTCGGAATATGGCTGTCTGATCCAAATGGTGGTTTTACGAGTTTATCCAAGATATTTTTAAGACATGTTTTAGTACCATGTGTAAGAATCCTTCGGCCCTCAGCTGGGCCACCATTGAAAAATTGATAAAAGATAAGAAAGAAAAATAACACTCGTATATTGTAATGAGTGCTGGAAATGAGGCGTTTCATGTTTGCATGCGGATGCCGATTGCGACGCTAGCTGCTGACGAAGTTCGGTGGTACCGTTGCGCCGTGGCAGCGGGACAGTGGGGCTTGATGCGGCTGATGGCAACCTCGAAATGGTACCAAATATCTGGCACTGCCGACTTCACAGTTACTTTATGACGAGTGAAGCTGTATAATCACCAACAGCGCTTCGATTTGTATATTCTGAATTAATCCATATACCCCGCAAAGGCCAGAAAGTGAGCAATCGACAGCGCGCGACTGCTTACGGAACGATTCCGATCCTTCGATGTATACGACCTGAAATCGCCCCGTAATATAATTACTGCGCCCATCGAACGAAATGCCCTATCTGCCTCAGAACAAGCCATTCTGAAGGTTGTCATCTGGCGACAAAGCCTCGAACATTCCTATCCAGCCAGCAATTGCCCCGTTTGAGCTCGGTACTGCGATACACGATCAATAGAGCGAGATATACGAAGCTGGGGAACCCAATATGCCCGATGTAAGCATGCATCAAACCAGCCCTACGGGTGGACCAAAGCTGACCCAAACACCCCTTTAGCCTTTAGCATAATTGTAGACGTTTGCAACGCGATTGTCGCATGTCGACCAGCATGTTCTCATACCTGAAGCCGCACAGGCGCAATCCCTCCTCGAACCCAGTCTCCCCCATCTCGGACCGACCGCACTCCTTTGAGCGCACTTCACAGCTGACCCCGGAACAACACTCGCATCCCTACACATCTCGAAAACCGGAGGACAACAACACACCAGACCGGCCTCGCACACCGTCGGACAACCCCCCGTTGCTGCCTCCAATTGCCCGCGTTTCTTCGCCCGAGAAGGAGGAGTTGGAGCCCATTAGACTGAATGGCGCAGGCAAACCAACTGAACCGAAGAGCTTCGAGCACATGCCCATTAGGCAGAATGGTGGAGCAAAACCGACAGAGCCGAAGAGCTTCGAGCAGGTGCCCATATCACGCCTGTCGAATGCAGGTCTATATTCATCAGAACGGCCCCAATACCCCCCTCAGAACAGCTATGGGCAGTCAGGCACTGGCATGCAGCAGCCGTCCGGGCAGGGCCAAGGTGGCGGGCGATTGCCATTTGTCACATCCGCAGACCTTCAATCGACCCACGCCCATGTTGCCCGAAGACCAATGGGAGCCCGGATGCCGTCGCCACCACCGACACTGCCTGCGAACCCTATATCCACCTTCGATGCATCACAAAAGAGCTCCAGCAAGACGAGGCTGAACCTCCTGAACCCCATGTCGCTGCTGGCTCGCCGTAGAACAGCGCAACCTGTGCCACAACTACTGGCGGTTCCGACGGGGAACTTTCCCACGCAGCTTAGTCCGTCGGATTATGATCCCCGCATCCGCGGGACGAAGGTTCACGATTTTAGCGCGCCGAGGCCGAGGCCCACCGTCTCCCATGGAAAGCCCGCTGAGGCGAAGAGTGAACAGCCTCAAGTTGATGCCAAAAAGAATAAGACGCCAGAAGATGGGGAGCGTAGCCCTCATACGCCCGCCTTCAAAGAGGATTTCGAGGAAGAGCAGTATCCGGCTGCTGGACCCCATGTTCGAAAGGCAAACGATTTTAGTGACCTGGCGATCCCCCCACGTCCAGCGTATGCCAGGGAAGCACAGTCGTCCAAAGCAAGCACCCCAGATGCGAGCACCGCCAAACCTGCTACCCCAGAAACCGAAATAGCACAAAATAAACCAGAGGAAACCCTCCAGACAGTTGGCGCATCTGGCAGTAGCGACACAGGGCTACTTGAGGACGAAGACACCCAAACCGTCAGACAGGCCTCGATTAGCAGCCGCCGCAAACATTCCAAATATTCATCTTCATCTTTATCTTCACAACGCCAGCTACGAAACCCTTCTCTCATTTCGAACCGAGACAGCTCATCGACCATGAAGCATATGAAGAGTAACTCGTCTAGATTCAGCTTCGATATGATCGGAGCTGCTAGCCAGGAAAAGCTGCTAGAGGACAGGCATAGGGAAAAAGCATTGAGAAAGCAGAGCGAAACTCCGGAACCAGATATTGGAGTGTTCGACGAGGAAGAGGATTACGATTATGAAAATATGATGGACGATGATGGATTGGAAGAACGGATTCCTGGCGTCAATGCTGATATGGACGACGATGATGATGACGACGACGATATGTTTGGGCAGCGATGGGGTATTGGCGGGTTTACTCTCCAGACAGGCCCAATGGTATCACTGGACCCTATAAATGATTATACGCCGAGAGACTTGGATGGAAATCCAATCAGCCGTGGGATGTCGAGAGAGCCCGAAACCGAAGCACAGGGAACCCCACAAGAAGCAAATGGAATTTTTTATGAGGATGCCGGCATCTCCCCAAATACAGCGCAGAGCCGGGAACTTAGTGGCCTGGGGCTCGAAGGCCTCGAGCTCGACGAAGATCCTGTGCCTGTCACCGAGCCTCTTGTTCCTTATCGTCAATCTCAGATTATCGCTCCGAGGAAAGTTCTGGATGAAGATGATATGTACTTCGATGACGGCATGATTGATCACAACGATTATGACCCAGAGGGCCCGGAATTTGATGAATCTATCTTCGATAATGATGATACTGATCAATATGGCCGGCCCCTGGCCCCATTGTCTTCTCTCCCCACTTTATACTCGCCGCCTCTCATCCACACGACAACGGACTCCCTGAATCTCAGTAAGAGAGACAGTGCAGACTCTCAGAAACAGGCGGCACAACATGAGCAATTGACAGCGGATTCATTGACAGTCCCACCGTCCGACGCTCAGCCTCAACCTGACAGCCCAAAGCTGTTGCAGCCGGCTGCGAGTTTGACACAAGATACTCTCAGCGCATATCAATCAGCATTAGCCGCCGCAGCATATGCCGCAGCTGCGAGCGGCAGATTTCGCCGCGATAGCACGCCAGGAGGCAATATTGCTGACGAGTATGAGGGCGATCCCAACGAAGTCAACCTCTACTCACCCAGCATAGAAGATGACTTTGACTACGACGACGCCTTCGAGGACGACCCCATAATTGCCGAGGCCAATGCCGAAGCCCTAGCCTTCGACGATGACGGCTTCTACAGTCAAGAATTTGGCTTTTACTCTGCTCCCGCAGGCACCGAAGCTCTCTACGCCAATGGCGGCTTCTTTGGACCGCGTGGAGCCGAAGGGATTATCAGGAGCCAAAGCGGACGTGTGCGAGAGCCGAATCTCACGCCTATTACCGAGCGCAGTGAGTACTCGAATCGCAACTCTATTATGAGCTTGCCGCAGCTGGCGAGCGCCATGAGCCACGGCTCTGCAAATGTGACGAGCCCGGGACTTGCGCAGCTCGCGGGGCTCTTGAGTGATCAGGAGGACGAGAATATGACATTGAGCGCGCTGCTCAAGCTGCGGCGTGGGCAATGGGGGGGAAGTCAGTCGTCGTTACCTGCTAGTGGGGGAGGGAGCCCATCAGTGGCGAGCCCGGGGGATGACCATAGCGGTGGGAGCCGTACGGGACACTTAGGGCAGTGGCAGCAGAACCAGATGGGGTCTAGTCCTTCAGGGCAGCTGGCACCATGGCAACAAGGTCAAGCGGGTTCGAGTCCTTCGGGGCAGTTGACACCATGGCAACAAGGTCAAGCGGGTTCAAGTCCTTCGGGACAGATGCCGCCGTGGCAGCAGCAATCGAGTCTTAGCCCCGTGGATACACGAGATCAGTTTCAACAAGGCAACGCATTATTGAAGCACAGCAGGAAGGGAAGCACATTCTCCTTAACTAGCAACTACAGCCGAGACTCCGAGGCAAGCTCGCCGAATGCAAGTCCGGAGACGCAGTTCAATCCCAACCCAGTACTGAAAGCCCAGCTACAGACACAGCAGGGTCCAGTACAAACTGTGAACCGCAGCTCTACTACTTCATCACGGTCTAATATCCAGTCAACCTCTCGAATCGCATCGCCCACCTCAACGCATTTCGATCACGACTCCATATCCTTCCCCCAGAGCTCTAACAACAACAAACCCAAGGAAAAAGGAGCAGAGCTGAAGAAACACCGCCACACAGGCAGCAGCGACAGCATCTCATACATGAAGGAAGAAGACCCCGTCACCGGGGAGCGCTGGGTCCTGGAGCGGCGCCGGACGGCTGAGAGCGGTGTGGAGGTGCTGGAACGAGAGGTCATTAGTAATGGACGCATATAGCTTTTCTCTTTTCTAGGCGTTTTGGAAGTACTCATGTGGTGGAATTCTATCTCCCTCGACCCTGGTTTTAGGTACGAGGTTGGCCCTGGCGCATTGAGGCGGTGAGCATATAGGGTTGGGGTTGGTGAAGATATTTATTGGATGGCAGCATGCAGCGTAAGACCTGGGAGGACATAATTTCTGGGGAAACGTGGAAACATACAGAGGGATCGGAACATATTTGGCGGGGTAATAATGGGGTAATGGGGTAATAATGGGAATGGCGGGGAGATCAGAGGCCGGGTTGGCTATGGCTATGATGTGCACCGGTGGCGGTCAGACGAAATATGATAATATACCTGCGTGATCCACTCTACATCGGACATCCCATGCTGCCATTGTGTTTGAGAAAAATGCACAAACACCGCTCACCGCTTCCTCCTGCATGTAATCGGCGATGCCAGGTTTGTCGCGCCGTTGGAAGAAGGGATGGGGGCCGTGGCAGATAGATATCACCCGCATCGGCAGTTATCCTCAGACGAAACGCTGAATCTATCCGCACCTCATCCCATCCTATCTTATCGATATCTACCCATCCCCAACCGTGCGCCGTTGGACTTCAAGATCCTGAATCCCCGTCCGCTGTTTATATGATAATGCGCGGCTGCATCCATCTCGGGGATCTAGGGCGGGCGCTGTGGCGGCTGAATGCGCCGGGTGCAGCGGGTGTCAGCCGCGACGCGAGGGAGGGTATAGGCGATTTTTTAAGGTTGGTAATATGGGTAATTCGGAGTTTTGGGGCGGCGGGAGAGGGTGGCTATTCTTGTCAGAGGAGGGTGTGTGGTCGGTAGTGGCTCTGTGCGCTGGGTTTGAGGCTGTTAGTTGAGGCTGTTTTGGACTTGGATCTGGGGTTTGGAGGTGGGTGTTGGAGAGGGTGATGGCTTGGAGGATCTACTATAGGCTGCCGAATCTATAAGACTGTGCTTCCTGCCATTTGCTGTTCATGGTGTGGTTGTCAATGCCCTCTCATGAGCCCATGCAGCCGTTTTCATACCGCTGCTGTTCCATGGCCAATATCTCCGCTCTTGTGAATGCTTGATGCTTGTTTACCAACGGTGATAAATCTAGGTTTCCCTTGGACGATAAAACAATGCTGTGAATCGAAACACGACAAAAACTGGCAGCCCGAAGTATGACTTGACCAACGGATTCGGAAATTCAACAGAAAATAAAGACAACAGGTTCAGGGAAGACTCACAACATGGTGACCAGGAAACCGACATACTGCGGGGTATATATACGCCCAGGACCAGGAGGCTCGCTGAACATGGCATTCCCAGCGTTTTCATGACTGCGTGGTCCATGTGTATCCAGGATCATTTGTCCAGAGCTTGGGATACTCAGAAGCACTGAGCTTGGGGCAAAGCAGCGGTGAGAACTGCCCAAGGAGAAGAAAGCAATACGAAAAGCTCGCCATAAAGACTGGTATGACATGGCAAAATTGTAGTGTCGAAGAAGGAGAAATGGGGTTCGGCCCCCAATATGAACTTTCTGGATACCGAGGATGGGTAAAGACCAGAGGTGCATACCGGAAGAGGAGCCATCCGAGATATCAAGGACACATCCATCGACTGGAGCAAGCAAAGGTAATGAGCAAGTAAAGATGTATTTTGCTTGCCTTGTTGCTGGGAGGAAGAGCTCATGCTTGCCAGACACGCTTTTTGTTCAGCATGTGAGAGGAGGCAGCATGTGGGAAGGGGGAAAAGCTGACTTCATCGAAGAATCTGCCGAGGTAAATTCAAGATAACGAAGACATAAGAAAAGGTCTATTCCAGCAATACTCTTCTCAGTACGAATCATACGACGCTTGATTGCGATGTGAGGAAGGAAATCATTCAAATGGACCTGTGGGAGAGAAAAGTTGTCTCAGGGCCACAACACATCGAAGAACAGCAAAATCCAACTTACCCTACCATCCATATCAGAGGCAGCCACTGGAGAAGGCTTACTGGTAACTTCCAGGAGATGTCCTTGAATTCCCAAGACAACAGCCAGAGCTCCCCATTTCCTCATGCCTGATCTAGGCTGAGAAGGTACATCTATCATTGGAAGTAGGACGTGGAAATGAGGCCGACTGGTCTGAAAGCCGTGCACAGGCTCTTACCTCACACAAATTGCTTCAACATCCTGAAAGACCTACCACCAACCGAAGATCCGTATAGAACTGCGTGCTTCACAAACGAGAAACCCCTTTTAACGCCTCCCTCACCAGATACGGGCAAAACAACCGCGACGACTATGGGGCTCATTGCGTCTAGTCATTCAAGCGCGCTTGGCAAGTGCCAAAATTAACTATTGGCAGCCTAGAGAGCCTCCGTTCAATGCAAAACTTCTACTAGGCCATTACTGTTTCACCATCACTGCGCCCCGAGACCGAGCCGCCCTATCCTTCGCCTCTCGCTGTCCCGCGTGTCCCGAACGGTTCCACACCTTCATCAATTTATTGCCTTGGAGGCAGACCACCACCAGCTGCTCATCACGAACTCATCTAGAATCGCGGGGTGGCCGAAATCAACCTCGTCGACCATCGTCCCAGCCCCTCAGTCCAATACCCTCGGCTACTTCAAATTTTCATTCAAACCCCTCTTTTGTCCAGCCTCGATCGCTAACCCCGCAAACTCCTTTCGTCCCTTTTCCCTGTCGATGAGAGTTCAACGAGGGGAAAATTCATTACGCGATCCCTACCGTCCGCATCAGGTGCGTTTCCTTACATGCAACGCAACCTCAGCTCCCAATCGAGATAGATGTGTGGCAACCATGAACTGCTGGCTCCTGCACACCACCATGCCATCGCAACCTCACGGACCTAGTTCATGCAGCACACGTGATGAATCTCCTAGCACTTCGTAGAAGGCTGGAGCCGAAACAGCCACATCACGCCAGGGATGCCGGGAGATGTCGCAGAATGGGCGCGTGGGGTTATCTTCAGCAGCCACGAGGAACAGGCACAACTATGTCATCGGCACTCTATTTCTGATAGTGGCACAGGGCTCTCAAACAAATTTCGTACCTGATGCTTCAGGCTCTGCGAAGGCCCAGCCCTTGCGATACCTGTCCCGTCGCGCCACTTTCTGCCTACTGGATTTTCAAGACGCAGCCCTAACCTTCCTTTGGGTTTCAGCTGACCACCACATGAGACATGCCCATGAACCTCGCCCGCTCACCAGCAACTCCTGATCGTCAAACTACTGCACCGTGGAGAGGGAACTGCACCCCAAGATGGCTGCGGGCTCCATAATCTACGAAGCGTCGCGAGCTCGTCCCATCTCATCTCCAAAGCAGCATCGAGGCGCGACGCTTCGCGCTCCTTTCGCAACCACAGTCGTTTGATACGTGGATGAAAAGCGTAGTCTGTCGTGAAGTGGGGGGTAGAACTGTAAGCCAGGTGAGACATCCACATGGACTAGAACGCCAGTAGCCCCAACAACCCATGACTTCTCGAAGGGTGGAGTTAGCGGTGTCTCGTCCGATGGCCAGAGGAGAGTAGCGCCCGATGTAGCACGCAAATACACACAGCAGGAGGGCGGGGCTGATTGGATGCTACCCTCGACGGTTTGGCAGTGGTGGGAGTCCCCAAGGATAATTTCCGAGGCGGCGGGTTGCTCATTCGCTAGATCGGGCGGGGTGATCTGCAGGTGCAGAACGTGGCATCAGGGGGACACCATCAAGCTCCTATGGATCCATGTCTGTGTCTGTGTACCGTGGATGGTGTGGATGCAGGCCTCCCCCAAACTGCAGAGAAAGAAGGGGATTTCGTTGGACATGTCTTAACTGCAGAGATGCTCTACCCCGTCTTTACGCCACAACTCACGCAGGATCAACGGTATCGATTCAGGAGCAGTGATTCAGGAGGATTGGCGTCTCCATTCTCATCCTCCATCAGATCAGGCTTAATTGCACCGTCGTAAATCTCCACACCTAGTAGCATCAGCAATCTTACCCTTACTATCGCGGACACAGGAGCTTTCCCCCGTAGTAGCAGTCCGGTTATGCGGCGCAAACCAAACAGTGCTACGTAAATCTCCCACCGCGCCTCAGCATCCACGTTGCCCACGCGCGATGAAAGAGGAGGCTGGTGGGGGTAATTCATCTAAAGTAGGCCATGTAGCCGTTCCCTGCCCCTGACGAGCAGGGAATCCCCCGTTAGAAAACGAGTTGCTGGGAAACATGCCCTGTCGGACTACCCCCAACTAGAGCCAACTACCACCCAGGGGTTGTCAGGAGAGGAGAAAGGATTCCCCGAGTCGGATTTATCCAGTGTAGCGTCACATCGCCGGAGAAGGCCCGTGGCGGGGCGGAGAGGGAGGAGGAGTGGGGTGGGGACCCTGGGAGATAGGGCTTGGCAGCACGGCAATATCCCCTCTAGACCAGAAAGGATTGGCCCTCCGCTGCCTGGCTCCATCAATCGCGTGAGCCAGGGGCCGCGTTGCGGGGATTTTTAGGCTGAAAGTGTTGATAACTGGCGAAGAAAGGCTTTTTGGCGCAGATGCGGCACTCTGTTACGTTAGAGTCTTGCCAGATCTGGACGGCAATGGCACTACCGAGTTTTTTTTTGGGCGGTGGTTTAATTACTGTGCTCGACGACAACTGGATGGCTGACCCGAGACGCGGGTTGAGATGGGAGCGGTGGCGTGGTAATTGATGATTCATTACGTCGTCTTCCAAACTGCGAATACGCCAGCGAGTACGCATGTTGTCTTACCTGGACCCAATGACCGTGATTTCATAACCGTCCCCTCTGTCTGTGCGGTCCAGAGCTGACGGGGTTGAATTGTACCCTCAGGCTCTAGTAGTGGACACCTAGGGCCCCCCTGACCCACGAGTGGACCATCTCTGTCCCTAGCATACATGACATAAAATGTTGGATTCACTTCTCATCTCTCAGCCAATGTTCTATTTCGGTACAAGCGCTGACGACTCCCTCTGGCCCACCTACGCCGATCCGACGGATAGAGAGAGATTCGTCACCCTCAACCTTCTACTAAGGTGCCGAACCCGATCCCTATGGCGGCGGGCGCAAGGGTGGGGGCGGGAGCGGGATGTTCCCCCGGATGCTCACCGCTGAGAACGAGCGATGGAGGGATCCAACGGGCGGTAAGCATGCACTCACGGCACGGTATTGAGCTGCATCATCTCCAACCTTGAGTGGCAGGGCAGACCTGGCCGCGTTGTTTCCTGTTTGACGGAAGTTCTCGGGAGGTGCCTGCATGAAGCACTGATCCCTCTGCACCACAGCAGTTCTTGCAGCAGGTTGGGGGTGGGAAAGACCTGCTGTCGCTGGACAATTCTTTTCGGGGTAATATGTGAAAATGTGGATTGAGGGCCTCCTACGAGCACAGCGTTGGGATGGTGAGAGGTGGGGGCTGGTAACGACTGTAATTGGTGTTTTGGGGGCGGGGAAACGGTAGTTGGCCGCGGGTGCACGGTACATATGCCTGTTGATCTTCCATTCCTGCCTTTATTGGATCTGATATATGGTAAGAATGGGCTCATACGTAGAGATTTCAATGTTGTAAAACAGCTCATATCAGCGTGCTGCTATTGCTTTGAAGAGTAACGATATGACGGCGTTCCTGGATGATAGCCGTTCGGTCAACTTCCGGAAACATGAAAGATCTCTCCCTCCCCCAACCGTTGAATCTCTGAACCCTAAACGGGGTGTACTCCGCGAGGTGGAGATACTGCTGGCTTAGCTTCTGCTCTCTGTAACTGGGATCGTCCTGTCACTTTCAAACAAGCGTTGATCGCCCCCCATATCCATCCATTCGACCCTCGTATCCGTGGATCTGTTTACCATCCCGCGTCATGCTACTGGCCTTGCCATTCTCCCCTTCGCGGACTGGGAGTAAGTGGATTGCTGTATAGGATAGGGCCGTGAAAACCGCAGGGTGACGTGCATAAGCTGAACACATTGTTTTAC